GAACAGAGGACTAAAATCCCTTTCCAACAAGGTGCCACACGACCCCCTTTGCTATTTGAAATTTTCGAGGGGGTGCTTATAATTCAGAAGGGGTGCTGAAGGGGGATAATATTTTCATAGTGTAAATTGTCAATTTAAGAATAAAAATCGACCTGTTTCAGGTTTTTTTCACAGTACATAATAATGCTAAAAATGAATTTATTCCATACATATGGACCGCACTGTTTATCTGGTGTAATGGTTTCATAGAACAGAACCAACATCTTTGAAGTCTTGGAAAAGAGAGAAGATTTGAAAAATAATTGTCTCCTTTTGAATATTTCAATGCTGATTCACCGAGATTTCAACCAGAAACAATTTTTTTAGAATCTTTAGCATTTTCAAAATCTATTTAATTTCCGATATCCACCAATCCACTGAATCTAACACCCCCAGTGGACTATCATATTGAGTAGGGAATATCTTAATCCAAGTGACTGCAGCACTTGTCAGTGGAAGATTGGATAATCGGACAAATTTATGAAGCTTTGTACAGCAACCGACAAACGTGATAGCGAGCCCGCCCCCATGTGCTTTTAACATAGTTTGTACCCATGCACCATTTATATTTTTAATTCAGTAGGTGAGTTATGCCATTTTTGAAGTATGTACTACCCAAGCTTTGTCTACAAGATTATTCTTATGATAATAAAGCATATTATTATTATTATTAGTTTAGAAAAGTGGAAGAGGATTGAAATAGGACAATAATTCCGAATATCAAATAGGTCTCCAGACTTAAGCATGGGACAAACACCTGATACTTTCCATAATTCCATGAAGATTGTAAGTAAAGAATACACCAAAACACTGATCTAATCTTTTACCAAAAAGGATATTTCATGAGAGCCATAAATGTATTTTTTTTTTCACATTACAACGAGGATTTTATGTCCGCTCTGATGATGTCTGTCACAAAAGTAGATGAAAATTTTGGTACTGCAAGTCCCCTTCGACTACGGCCTACCAGTCCGGATTTTAATTTCTCTAATAAACATTCAATATTATTATATATACACATAAAGCACTTTGTGTAAAATGTTTGCATAGTCCAAATCTTGGGACACTAGTAATTGAAAGACTTGAAATATCAGGTCTTGAGACTGGTATTCAAGTGGGAGATAAATAACCAATTCAAGTTCCAATAAAGAATATACAACAACTTTAACAAAATTTATTTATACATTTCTGCTCACGATATTTTTATAAAAAAAATGGCAATATTGGCAGCTAATCCACGCACTACCCAATTACATAAACAACGTAAAATACAAACAACATTCATTATCCATATAAAAATTAACGAAAAAAAGTATATCAATTCTGAACTAAAAAAAAAAAAATTCTCTTTGAATAAACCTATTCAGATTAGTATAAAAAAAAATCGAACCATTTTAGTGCCTTATCGAAAGATACTAAAACATTGGACATTTAGAGGGGTACAATACAAGCTGCCTCTTAGAATATTCAATTTAGTCTTACACCTAAGGAAAACTGTACAATCTTGAATAGCCCTAGCACGAATGAATTTACACAATTAAGGTGCACGCTGTTATAAAGTGCTGGTGCACCAACTAAACTTTTACCGATCACCGTCAACTAACGGCGTTAGTCCGTTTCTTGCCCTGCTCTTTAACACAGTCAATGTCAGTTTTTTTGCCCTTTGCCTGGGCCAGCATCATCACGAGCTTCTTCGGAGACTCGCCCACTATCCACCCATGCTGTACAGGCCTGTCTTCTTCGTCTTCCAGCTCGTCCCGTGAAGACCTCACCTCGATGAGGTCGTTGGCTTCATCCTCTGAGGAACTTGACCAGTGATATAGCGGATCGGGGGCAGCTCTCTTTCTCCTATTTGATGTGGCAGTGTCCGCCATGGCTGCAGGGTCGTGGGACTTGCTCTTCTTTCTCTCTGTCAGCTTTTTCTTGTGAGGCTTTTTGCTAACAGATTTCGGTTTGTCAAACACCTCCTGATCTTTTGGCTGTTCCTCGGCGATGGGCGGTTCAACTGCTGGTGATGCCTAGAAACAACATAAGGGTCATAATTAAAGGTAAATCTGGAACTTATGACGTAGAATAAATCTTAAAACTAGCACTTTTTCCAGTCACCAGAAATGCAATACTCTTATCGGCGCGTTTCACCAACCAAAATGGTGTCTTTCGGAAAATAGTTCTCACAGCAGTGAGGAATTTGACAAAAAATATATTCACTAAGCGAGCCATTAAAACTCATTTCAAAGAACACGCAGCATATATCTGATTTCGAACAAGACCAGAAAAATCTCGTGTCGCTCAAAACGCTTTGAGGAACGACTGTAGAATAAAACTATGTACGGTGACAAAGGTCTTATTGCAAACAGCCCATTGTTTACTTTTTTCATGAATCAACTCTGTTAAAATTCGCGAAAAACTTCACGGGAAAATTTCCCTCATAGCCCACTGACTAATAAGATAGTTTTTCTTCTTTATTCAGAGGAATCGGGCAAATTTCGGATATGCAGTTGGTTAGTACCTCGTCCACTAGATGGAGTGACATTTTGTTGTTCGCTCCAACTTAGAAAGAGGAATGAAAGAATTGCGATTTTCAATTATGGAATATCATTGATAAATATAAATATACTAGTTCAAGGCGTAAAGAACATAGAAAATTGAAAAGAAAATATATATGTTAATTGCGGTTTTATTTGTAATTTAGGTTATGGCACAGTGTTCATTAAAGATATTGAACATTTTGTAAATTGGGAACTTGATGAACAAATTAGTATGACTGGTGGGATTACAGAATATTTCTTGTTGACTTGAGACTAACCTAGCTGCTAAGAAATTAATCGTTTTCATCAAACGGGGCAGTCAAGCTACCCATTCAACTAGAAATAGTTCAAAAGACCCATGTAGGCATAACCTCTTTTGAGATAATAACCATGACATTCAAAGAAGTACAACTTTAAATATTTCCTCTACATTCTATGTTGTCATTAATATTATGGTATTAAAGTGGTGACCAAAAACTGTTTAACCGTTCATTTTCCAAGAAACATGTAATTTATTTATAAAAGTGAAATTGAAAGTCAGTAATAACACAAACAGTAAACAAGATAGTAACAAATATTCCATTCCATCATAATAAATCACGATTTCCAGCACTTTCGTTGAAATAAATTCTACTGCTGAATGAACGTGAATCATATCCAAAAACTTCCTCTGTGAAAAAATTTGCACAAATATATCTCAGATATAATTCAATGTTCATCGCGGTAGTAGCCAGGGTGTTCCGCCAGACTTTGGCAGATTGCACTGTGTAGGATTGTTGTAAAAATTGAATGTTCCCAATTTACTATTTATATTAATTTTCTTAGTAGGTCTGTATCTCTAGTCGATACAGTCTTATTTAATTTCTGTTATTTAAAGTAGAACTCATGTGAAAGACATCTGATTTTATTCCACAACGAATGTCTGAAATA